TTAACAAAAGGATTCTTGCCAAGTCTATAACTCACTGTACCTATTTGTTCATATCTGCACTTACAGCTAGGACAACAGTTCTCAAAAATTTGGGTCTCAGGATTTTTAAATTTTATCTTATTATTTATTTATTTATCTTGAGGATTTAACCCAGGGGTACTTTACCATTGAGCTGCATCCCTAGTTCTTTTCATTTCTTTGAAGACAGGGTCTCACTGTTACTGAAAGCCTCACTAAATTGCTGAGGCTTGATGAGTTTATACACACACACTTACACACACACACTTACACACATAACATTAAAATCTTATTTAAAAAGTAATACCTGATTGTATTTTGAATAACACATTTAATCAGTAGTATTATAAGATGTAAATAGCAGCAGTTTGTTCTTCACAGTTATCTCTGAAGACAGTTAAAATTGTATTCCACAGGATGGGTTTGGCATAATTCATTTATATAATTAGTCTAGCATTGGTGGATATTTAGGTAATTGCCAGTTCTTTTTTTCAACTCCAAGGAACAATACAGCTTGAAAATCATTGTGTGCATACTTTTGCTTACTTTGAAAAGCAAAGGATAATTTCCCTTCAAACCTAATTCATATTCTCACCAACACTTCAACCCATGATGTTTCAACCTTGATTAATAAGTCTTTAAATTATGTATACTGTTCGGTACTATACCAAAACTTGAAAATAGGAGTTTCTTACAAGTGAGTTATAATGTAGAGTGAGAAGCCTTATCAAAAAAATTTTTCTACTTATATTAAAATCCATTGTACTTCAGACCACTTATCCATGCATGTAACTTATGTGCATTGTCTTTTGGAAGATACTGGTTCACTGAGTTATGCATATATTTCAAATATTGATGTTTTATTACTCAAATCAAAATAGTTAATATCATTACAGTTTCATCAGAACAAGTTTGTAAGTTGGGAAGCTGTCAAAGCTACCTTGGTAGATAAAAATTTTGCACAATTCTAATTATTGCTTGAAAGCTTGAATATTATTAGCTATTGTTGGTAACAAATAATTTTGTTGACATCTTCCTTGAAGTAATAGGGTCTCTTTGTCCATCCTCTCTTATTTTTTTCTTTTAGGTCCTGGAGAGTGAAACCAGGGCTTTGCATTTATTAGGCAAGTGTTCTACCTCTAAGCTACATCCCCAACCCTCTTTGTTCATTCTCAAGCATACTTTTTATTTGTTTTATGCACTTGTCAGGGGACACAGGATACACAGCAGGATAGTGTAAAGATCTTGATTGGCTTTATTTTTGATTCCAGAGTCCTGCAATACTTTCCTTAAAACAGAATAAAGTGTTCTGAAGAGCTGAGCAGAAGAGTTGGGTTTTATAGAAGAGAAGGGCTGAAAAAAAGCAGAAACAAAGGACAAAAAGTAGATTGGTCATTTCGAAGTTATTTATTTATTTATTTTTGGTAGGGCTTTGGGGACAGAAAGACAGAACAATAGACATAACTGGTTAACACCAGATTACTGAGCCAGGTGCAGTGGCATACACCTGTAATCCTAGCTACTCTGCAGGTTGGAAGCTGTGGAAGGAGGATCGTGAATTTTATGCCAAACATGGACCATTTGGGGAGACCCTGTCTCAAAATAAAATTTTAAAAAGGTCTGGGGATATTGCTTAGTGGTAGAGTGCTTGCCTGTTAACATGCCAAACCCTGTGTTCAATCCCTAGAGCAAAACAAAAACCCTGAGGTTACTTTATGCTGCTGCTTTTTTGTAAGGATTAAAGCAGAGGGAACTTCATTATCATTATCATGATGATTGAAACTAGCCTTTGAGACATTTGGTTGTTCTCTCTCATTTTTCCTGGTTTCTTAAAAGTTCAGATAAATAGCTTGATTTCCTTTAGTGATGTTGAACTTTAGCACAGGTGACTCCATTTTGACTTTTAGTAAATTCATTTGGGGTCTGTTGCAGGAGTCTGACCTCCAAATAGTGGCCCCCTGTACTTTTTATTTAAAGCACCATTGAATTAAAATAGTGAGATCTCTAAGTGGTTTTCCATTTTTTTTTTTTTTTTGGAATCTTTAAAAACATTTGAAAAAAATTCAGTCATTTAATAAACTAAAAGTCTATAGTTACCTTATTCAGAGATCATTTCTCAATCACTTTTTTAGGAAATAAGTGGTGACTCAGAAGGAATTAGAGGAGTCCTATGACAGTCCTTTCATGAAAGAACTTCAAAACCTGTTAGTTTTAAATTCTACATATAATTGAAGCAAGCTTTGATAATCTTGTTTCCTTGTACCTGCAGATCAGAAGCAACAAACTAAAGAGTGGAAATGAGTTATTAGAGGTTGTTAAATTGACAGCATAAAAACTGATAACTTCCAGTGGCATGGAGGGGGAGAAAAAGCATTGTGGAAAGAATTTTAAAGGCTTGATAGCTAAGAGCTGTTGAAAAGTTCTAGTAGTTGAGTGCCGTTTATAAGTTTTAATTATGAGTTTCAGCTCTTAATGTATATACATAGTAAAAATAAGCTATCAGAATTGGAATAAACTTTAGTGAGCCTCTCACTATTTCTGAAACTTTTCTGTGCATTTTCACACTTGAGGGGTGGATTTGACACATATGATGAGACTGGGTATTGTAGGAGTGGCTTATACTAAGATTGTGGTTCCAGGTGCTAAGGGAAAATGGGACAAAGTATGGGATTTGTGTGTGTGCATGTGTATGTGTATGTGTGTAAATGTGTTTGTGTGTTTGCAGAGGTATTGACAAATACACATGGGAACATATCAGTGTTTCAGTTTCTGAAGAGGGGATTATGTGTATAGCTTGAACTTGTTTCCTCTATCCCTGCTGTGCAATATTGTCTCTCTTTCTAGCCCCCAGATGTTGTGCTGCCTAACTCATGTTCGCACTGAAATATACTAGTCTTATCCAGACTACCACTACAGGCCAACTTGAGAGGCTGAGTGGCACACAACTGAGTTGGAGAACATCAGGCTAGACTAAGAACCTAGTTGTCCTGGTTTCTATTTTGGTGTGTTCTATTCTGGTGCTGCAATAATTTATATTCAAAATGATAGGGTCATCAACAAGAATTTATCCATGTTTCCCAAATTTCTTATTAAAAAGAAAGGGAAGTTTTAGAAATTATATTTTAGAAAGATTTTTCTCCCTTTTAAAGTTACTGGAAAAAAATTATTTGAAATTTTTTCAGACATTTGTGGTAGAGGAACTTCATTTTTCTTGTGATAAATAAGTAGATAAATGAATTGTTAAGGTAAATTGATTACTTGCTATATGTTAGATTATTGGAAATCTGCTCTTAAAATACAGGTGAATTCTGGGCATTTAGGCTTTATGTTTGGAGTGTGTGTTATTTTGTATGGCTGCACAATGAATTATTACTAACTCAGTATCTTAAAACAAGGGACTTTTTTATGTCACAATTTTCATGGGTCAGGAGTCCAGGCATGGCCTAGCTGGATTGTCAGTTTAAGGTGAGAGCGTGGCCTATGATCTGATATGGAACTCAGTTCTAAGCCTATTAGTTTGATTTTTTTTAACCCAAAATATTTTTATTGCTATATTAGCAGTGGATTTTTTTTTTTGTATATATTTCTAAGGGCCACAAAAACTAGATTGAAGGAAGAAATCAAATTGAAGTCCTAGATTAAAATGTTTGGTTTAAAGAATTTTCTATAACAAATTTTATGTTTAGGTTTGAAAAGTTATGTAACCTTTCATGAAAATATCATGAAGGATTTTTCTGCACTATACTAAATGTTTTCCTTAAGAAAAAAAAATTAAAATATTTAAAGTATATTAGATTAAGATTACAAGACATCTTAGATATCTCTATATCGTAGATCTTTTGAACATGCATCTTTTTACAGAATTAATCATATACAAAAATGTTTATTTCATTATGGACCATAAAGAAATGAGTTGGTGACAACTATCCTTTGCACAACATTATCAATTCACTTCAGCCACAAGCATGTCCTTGATATGTGTGTAAAAGAAATAGGTTCATTTACCCCTCATCAAAACTTATACAGATTTACTTAGAAGTAAAGACGAAGGTGTAGAAATGTGAAATATGTTGTGTAATTTTTCTTTCAAACAACATTCTAAGAAGCTTGATGGTTTTTGCTAGAATTTGGCTTCTCATTGCTATAGGATCAAGGCCCTCAGTTGCTAGAGGCTTTCCCCTGGCATATGACTCTTTCCACAACAATATGGTTTGCTTTTTTAAGGCCAACCGGAGTGGTTTACTTTCTTAAGGCCATCAGGAGAGCCTCTCTTTGCTCCTTTTAATATCTATGATTCTAGAGCTTTTTAAAGGATTAACCTGATTAGGCCAGACTTATCAAGATACTCTGCCTTTTGATTGACGAATGTCAACTGATAGGGACATTAATTTTATTCGTGTTGTGTATGTGTGTGCGTGTGTGTGTGTGTGATTGTGTGTGTCTATGTATATAAATAAGCAAACTTAACCTAGCTAGAATATTAGAGTGAAATCCTAGAAATCATGCCACATTCAAAGGAAGAGTACTTGTACACCAGATGTTGGGAATCTGGTGGGTCATTTTAGCAGTCTGTCTGTCACAGGGTTATTAAAGACAGTAGTGACTCCCTTGTTCAATAAAAATGGATTTTTTCCTATGTTCTGAGCATTCTCTAGGCCATGGAAATATAAAGCTAAGAAAGCCTAATGTATGAGATGGTGGAAAGACAGACAATAAAGTATTATTTATAATGTCATTCAGTAATGCAATAAGTATTATTTATAATGTCATTCAATAATTTTCAATGTGAACACTGAAAGAGAAGGTATAGGAAGGGTGTAGAAGTTCAGTCAGGAAAAGTTTACTGAATATCTGGAAAAAGTAAAGATACTGCTGTAGTTCTTGAAAGTATAAAATTAAAAAAATTGTTTATTGATTTCCTAGGAAGAAAGGCTTAATAGTTAAGATAATGAAATTATTAAATGACTTTTCTTTTCCTGTAGATGGTATACCTCAAGTTTACTATTTTGGCCCTTGTGGTAAATACAATGCTATGGTGCTGGAACTGCTGGGACCTAGTTTGGAAGACTTGTTTGACTTGTGTGACAGAACTTTTTCTCTTAAAACAGTTCTCATGATAGCTATACAACTGGTAAGTAAAGCAGGGTGTTTTGGAGTTGTTTGAAAATTTATGTGTTTTGTTAGTTACAAATTTTAAATGAAAATTTAAATTAAAGTTTTGTGACATTATTTTGAGAGCATTTGATTCACCTAACACAAATGTTTCTACTTTCATATGGCCTTTCTAGAATGGCTATAATTGTCAAGTGCATTTATTTGTATGAAAATTGGTATCTTTAAGAACAGAATGCTTACTTTGTTAGTTGTTTCTGGTACTCTTTCTTGTTTAAGGTGAATACTGAAATAGTACCCTCAGAAACATGGATTTTTGGTAATAAATTTTAATGAATTAATAAGAAATAAATTATTGAGTGTCTTACTGATTATTTAAATTTCAGGGAATGTATGGGAAAACAATTCAGAGGATGATATTGAGACAGTTTTGAAATAAATGCCAATATTAGTATGCTGTAATAGTCTTAAAATTGTTTTTTGTTTGACTTATTAGTTCTACTTCTACAAATTTATCATATGGAAGTGTTCAGATGTATTTAAAGTTTGATGTGCAAAGATTGGTACTAAAAAATGGGAACAACACAAATGTGCAAAATTAACAAGATAAGTTGGGTAAATTGTTAATAGCCATAAATAATATGCAGTTAAAGCATGTACTAAAAGAATGTTTATGACCTGGAATATGCTCATATGTATTGTTAATGAAAAGCTTGGATCTTGGAATATTATATCTTATACAATCCAAAGTAATAAACAAACTAGAATGGGCTGTATGACTGTATATTTGCATTGCATTGTTAACCATGATCCTTATTAAATGAAAGATTTTTAAATTTTCTTATTTGTAGTGTTTTATTTTGTGATAGTTTGTATATTAAATATTATTTGAGGGTCTATAAAACAGTTAATATAAATGTAATATATTATTAGATTTGGATTCCAAAATTTTCTAGTTTCAAGATTTTATTTTTCAGTGTTTAATACCTAGGAAAATAAAAACGTTATATAAATGTTATATAAAAGAAATACTGAATGTTGCTTGACTTTATTGTTGTTTTTAATTGAACAATTTAAACACTTGCATTTCTTCAGTATAATTATAAAAGTTGCTTGATTATTATAGCCAGATGCAGTGGCTCATGCCTATAATTCCAGATGCTTGGGAGGTTGAGGTGGGAGGATTGAAAGTTCAGGGTCAGCCTGGGAAAATTTAGAAGACCCTGTCTCAAAAAATAAAAATGGCTGGGAGAGTAGCTCAGTGGGAGAGTGACCCTGGGTGTGTTCTTCAGTACCAGGAAAAAAACAAAAGTTGCCCTTTTATTGAACTGAGGAAGAATAGTGCAGCCTTAGGGGTATGTCTGTTAATACTTCTGAGTTCAAGTTTTTTTTTTTTTTTTAAATCAGTAAAGCTTTTTGATTTTATGAGACAGTATCCTCTGTTAATGTTGATTGAGTAAAACTTGCTGATATGAAAAGAATTCATAAAATTTGAACACTTTCATTCATCAGTGACCATAATAGTAAGGGCAAACATTTAAAATCATAATTGGTTATATATATGTACATTTGAGTAATTATAGACATATCTTGCTTTTAAAGTGTTGAAATAATTTATTTTTTGTTGTTTTCATTGTGATTATTCTCTCTTGCCTCTATCTCTATCGTTTTTTCTTATGTTAATCAAAACCTAAAATAAAATTCCTCTTCTTTATTTCTTTAACCCAGATTTCTCGCATGGAATATGTTCATTCAAAGAACTTGATATACAGAGATGTAAAACCTGAGAACTTCTTAATAGGACGACCAGGAAACAAAACCCAGCAAGTTATTCATATAATAGATTTTGGTTTGGCAAAGGAATACATTGATCCAGAGACAAAGAAACATATACCCTACAGAGAACACAAGAGCCTTACAGGAACAGCTAGATATATGAGCATAAACACACATTTAGGAAAAGGTATGTGTACCTTTAGTAAGTATGGATGTTTGAATTCAGCAGCTATGCTCACAATATATTTATGTTTGTTATTATGGTTTCTTTCTTTGCTATTTACCATAGTTTGTATTGTGATTTTCACTTATCATGTACAATTATGATTATTTCACTTATCATGTACAAATATGATTATTCTATTAAAGAATATGAGTAAATGCCTACTTTTAATTGAATTTGTTGCATATGAATTTTTTTATTAAGACTGTAGCTTTTCTATATGGCTAGCCAGGGTAGCAGCAAGCATATCCTCTAGAGGGGGCAGAACTGGCTTCTAATGCTGGCTTAACTATATCCTAATTATATGACTTCTGCTAAGTTCTTAAACTTTTTAAGGGAATTTCTTATTTGTAAGAAGAGTAAAAATTATTACTAACATTTCACTGTTTTTGTAGTTTTTCTTTTTCCTGGTGTAGTATCTAATATCATAATTAAATAATTTGTTATATCACCAGTCTTTTCAGCTGGAGAATTCCTTGGACTTTCTTCAAGTTATTTTTGAGGAACGCAGGCTATTTTAGAATGTTCTCAATTTGGGTCTGTTTTTCTCTATAATTAGGTTTTGGTATGCACTTTTATTACAAATACAGAAGTGATGTGCTCTCAGTGTATCAGGTTGGGGCTCAGGATCTAATCATAATGCAACTAGTTCTAAGTAGCTTTGATCACTTCCTTAGGGTGGTATCTGATGAGTTTATCCACTAAAAGCTTCTTATTTTCACTTTGTAATTAAACACTATTTTCAAATAAATCTTTGAGATTATGTAAATATGTTCTTTATCAAACTTTAAAAAATATTTTTAATTGTAGATGGACACATACCTTTATTTATTTATCTTTTTATGTGGTGCTGAGGATCAAACCCAGTGCCTCCCCCATGCTAGGGAGTGCTCTATCACTGAGCCATAACCCCAGTCCCAAACTTCTACCCACACTTAGTATGTATTGTTAATTTTCTGTCATTCCTTGCATATTTAATAGTTGACATTTGAATATAAGTACAAACTTTTCCTTTTCCCTCATTTATTGATTTATATCTGTATGGACTTATGAGTTCTTATTTAATGTGTTATGTGTCAAATGCATTATGATCATTATTTATTTTGATGCTTAGAGTCTCAGATTTGGCCACTGGTTGCTCCTTAAAGCTGGTTCCTCTTGTCATGTTCTCATGATTATTTGAGCATTTCCTTACTTTCTGGTTGCAAAAAATACTTCCAGATTCATCTTGTGGTTTCTCTGCTCTAACCTTGTCATGAACCATTTCTCTAAGAAGTTCTAGTTCCTTTTATTGAATAATGGTAGTATTTAGAAACCAAAATTTGTCTCCTGGATATGCTCATTGCTATGGTTTGTTTTTGCTGATAGGCTCTTTTTGAAGCAGAACTAAGAAATATTGTGTGTATATGTGTACATGTACATACACATATACACAAATATGCCTACATATATATGACACATATACATATATATATATATATATATATATTTTAATACCTATTAAAAATGTCAAGTTTATACTGATACTTCTGATTTTAATTTATCACAATAAAGTATTTTTGCCCAACCATGTTTATAATTCTTTTTCCTTTTCTGTATTTGTATTTTCCTTTGTTAACAGACTCATTCACTCATTTTTAGAGGCCTACTATACTCAGAAAGTAGCTTCAAATTGCCAAATGATACAACTTTGTAAAGCAAGTTTACTAGGACTATAACATATGTAATTCTTGAAGAGTGCTTCTTAAAATTGAAGTAAAATTTATATGGAGTACAGTACACAATGTCTGAGTGTATAATTTGAGAGTACTGATGAAAATATATGCCATGTAACCCCCAGCCCTATCAAGATTTAGAACATTATCATCACCCTGAAGACTTCCTTCTTATTTCTTTTCAATCCCTGCCTTCTCCAGAAGCAACCACTGATCTGATTTCTCTCACCATAAATTAGTTTTGCTGATTCTATTATGTCATGTAATTGGAATCATTTGGCTTCTTGCTTAGTATAATCTTTGTGAGATTCATATTTTTCTAAGTATCAGTAGTTTGTTCATTTTAATGCTGAGTAGTAGTCGATGGCAGGAACATACTACATCCATTCTAATATTGATAGATAGTTGGATTATTAACAGTTTTATGACTATTATGAGTAAAATTTTAGGCATTCTTGCCGATCTTTTTGTGGGCATATGTTCTGTTAGAACTGTTGGATGGTATGATAAATGTGGTTTAGGTTTAAAAGAAACTCAGGGGCTAGGGTTGTGGCTCATTGGTAGAGTGCTTGTTTAGAACATGTGAGGCACTGGGTTTCATGCTCAACATCATGTAAAAAAATAAAATATTAAAAAATAGAATGTTTAAAAAAAAAAAAAAGAAAAAGGAAACTCAATCAGATCCCTATATTTTCACCAGCAGCGAATGAGAGTGCTTCCCGTTTTTTATAGCATTTGGCAGTTAGTCTTTCTCATTTAAGCACCAATGGATGTTTGCTATTTTATTTCCCCATGTTTAATGTTTTGGAGCTCTGTTTCATGTGTTTATTGGCCATTTGTATATCTATTTTGAATTTTTGGATATATCTTTTGTTTATCATTTTGTTGTTGATTTATAGGAGTTCCTTATATGTTTACAAGTCCTTTGTCAAATATAAGCGTGATAGGAATCATTGTATATTCTAGATAGAAGTCTTGTCAAGTATAGGCATTGTGAATATTTCTTCCAATAAACCAGTCAGTATGATCCATAATCATTGTTCAAAAATGCCTTACAATATAAAAGCAGATTTGACAGGACTTTTAGTAGTCATCTAATCCAGCTTCTAATTTCTTATCTTAGCATCTCTAACCATCCTCCCTATGATCACTTAACTATATACTGCATACATGTCTTTGTTCTAAAAAACATCTTTCCTGACAGTCTGCCTGATAGTAGGCTCATGATATTTTTTCTTTGAAATGCCTGAAAAATTAAATTTGTCTTTCTTCATAAAAAGTAAGTTTTAAACACCTAAAATTATAAACATAATTTTTATTCAGATGATATTTTTGGTGAGTACCTTTTAATAGCAAACTTTCCTGGTAGATTTAAAATATAGTTGGGTAGACATATAAATTTCAGGATTGTGCCTTCTATTAAAACCAGGCACACCTTTATTTGTGTGTGCAGTGTCTGAGAAATTTTCATTTCATGGAAGTTGTTAACAGACTATTTTATAGCAAGTAACAAAGGTTCGCCACTGTTTTATTGTGAGACATGAAGTCACAACTTCCTTATGGCCTAATGTTCTTTATCTGAACAATGGTAAGTGTAATACCATTCTATTTGTAGAAATGGCAAAGCCAGTCTGATTTGTTTGTCCTTGTTGGTAAAAGCCTTCGGAGCTTGGGAAATGCCGTCTAACTGATGCAATAATCTTTCTTTGCTCCTCTTTCAGGAAGAAAACAAAAAAATGATTTCTTTGGCAAGTATTACAAACAACAAAAGCTTTGATATTTACTTTTCCTCTCTTATAAAAGTCTTGCTTCTCAGTTTCTGTGTAGATGGAGGAAATGGGTAATATTAATAGAGAAAAATGTTTGTTTGCTAGATTACATGAATTCCTTTTGAAAATAAATGAAGAGTAAGGTAAAGTGGTGTGAGTTTAGGTGCTGAAGAGTTAAAGCATACTATAAGTTTGAGGTTCCTGTCATATGGAATATTTTGTGGTATTTTAAAATTTTGAATATATTGCATTGAGAGCAGTCATTAAAAAGAAAAAGGAACAGAGAAAATATGATTTTACTTTGTGCATCTCTAACTTCTGCCTTTCCTGCTTTGTCTGGGCTTTGGTGATTACTTTTAAAACCTCATTCATTCATTCATACATTTTAGGGTACTTCTTTGCTTTCATGAACTTTTCAAAATAAAGAATTTGGTCACAGGAACATTATATGGGTTTATAACTATTTTTCCTTCTTGAATATTGATGCAGTATCATATTTAAATAGGGAAAAGATGTTCCTAATATGGAAAAATAGAATAAAATTGCATTGTAGGATTTATTATCTTTTTCTTGTATCTATTGATCTTAAGGAGGCAGATGTGGTGATTCATGTTTATATATGCGTTCATCATTGGTTAAGTCACTGTCTAAGACTATATGTGGATTTCCCATAGTCTACATATGAAAGCTTTTTAAAAAAATATTATCACATTGAACTGTTTTTGTGTTTTGTGTGATGTCTCCTTTTGGATACCTTTTTAAAGACATCTTTCTAAAAACTGCTTTGAACTTCACTTTATAATCTTTCTTTTGGATAATTCTTTCTCTCCCTTTTATATCTTTTGTTAAAGTCATTTGAGATTAAGCAAATACTGTATACATTTCTCTTTGGTAAGAGGTCTTGAAATGAAATTCAAATCTTTTATTTTTTAAAGTATTGTTGATTAATCAAGAGTAAAGAGTATGATTTGAGGAGTAAGTTAGAAGCTGCTTTGTAAATATTAGTAAGAAAAGTTTGTATTCTATAGAAGAATATATTTCAACCTTCTGAGTAGGGGAGAGGAATCACAGAATTATGCTGTTATAAAAGCATCTTATTTCCATACTTCATTTTGTGATGTAATTAATTAAATTTAATTTCTAGGTGAATTGTCCAAATTCCTGAGACCTGTTCTGTATGCTGCAAGGGTTTTAACAGCATAGAAACACATTTACATTTACAATTATATTTTAATAGTTTAAAAATGTACTGCATGATTCCTTGCTCTTTTAAAGGAAGTATGATAAACATAAATGATATTTTATTGTTATTTCAGGATAAACAATTTTTGCATGATTGCTGTTTTATATATTAATAATTTGAAATCTGTTGAAGAATATTCGGATATATATTTTTATCTAAATAAATTTAGAGAAAATGTTATTTGTATTTTGTAACATAAATTTTTTTTGGTGAGGGTTTTTTTTTCTGTCTTCCACT